CAAAAATTAGCCAGGTATGGTGGCGTGCGCCTGTAATCCCAGTTGCTGGGGAGACTGAGGCAGGAGAATCGCTTGAACCCAGGAGGCAGAGGTTGCAAAGACTAGAGATGATGCTACTGCACTCCAGCCTGGCAACAGAGCAAGACTCCATCTCAAAAAAAAAAAAAAATTGAAATAATACCAAGTATCTTCTCTGACTATGGAGAAAACTAGTCAATGGAGTAAAACTAGAAATTAATAATGAGGAATTTTGAAAACTATACAAACCCAAGGAAATTAAACAATATGCTCCTGAATGACCAGTGGGTCAATGAAAAAATTAAGAAGGAAATTTAAAAATTTCTTTTAAAACAGGTGCAGTGGCTCATGCCTGTAATCCCAGCACTTTGGGAGGCCGAGGCCAGTGGATCAGAAGGTCAAGAGATCGAGACCATCCTGGCTAACATGGTGAAACCCCATCTCTACTAAAAATACAAAAATTAGCTGGGCATGGTGGCGGGCACCTGTAGTCCCAGCTAATCGGAAGGCTGAGCCAGGAGAATCACTTGAACCCAGGAGGCGTAGGTTGCCGTGAGCCGAGATCGCGCCACTGCACTCCAGCCTGGCAACAGAGCGAGACTCTGTCTGAAAAACACAAAAATTTTTTTAGTATTCATTTTTTTTTACATGTGACTTTTTGTATTTATCATCTCTCAACTTTGTAGGTATGAACAGGCAGAAGAGCCAGAATTGAAGCTTGGAGCCCAAACTTGGGATTCCAAAATGGGGTAGAAGTCATATATGTTAGGATCTTGGCAGCAGCCAAAATGGACTATTCTGTGGCCCACGAGGTCATTTGCAGGGACCTTGAGGGTACAGGATGGGTTGGAATGAGGGTACCCGATGACCCGTGTACACCAAGCCAATCAGATGAGCAGTGTTGGGCAATCTGGGTAGTGTGTCTGCATTTCTCAGGCCGACGCTGGTGGTGACTCCACCCTCCAGTATTGGCGGTTGTGGAGTTTTTGCTTGTTTTTGCTGAATATGCTTTTATTTGGCTTTCTTGAGGTTTGCTCTGTGGTTCTTGAACCATACCTGGAGTACTATTGGGCGTATGTCTATTTTCGAGGCCATTTATTTCTGAGGGCTGGGGTTTGGGTATGGGTTCTCATTGAACAAGATGTTCAGATCTTCCAGTTGCTTCTCAGTGAACATGGTTCGTTTCCTGTGTGAATGCATCTGGTCCTTGCCGTTAGAAAGATCCTCTGAGCCTGGCATCTTCTAATCCAGGTGTGCGCCTGGGCTCAGGTCCAGGGATAAGTAGTATCCATTTTTTAAGGGGAGACAGGATGTTGCTCTGTTGCCCATGCTGGAGTGCAGTGACATGAAAACAGCTCACAGCAGCCTCAACCTCCTGGGTTCAAGTGTTCCTCCCACCTCAGCCTTGAAAGTGGCTGGGACCACAGCCATGTGTCATCACACCTAGCTACTTTTTTCTTTTTTTTTTTCAGTGGGTCTCACAGTTTCTCTTTTTTTTTTTTTTTTTTTTTTTATTGTGTCTGACCATGCTGCCCAGGCTGGTCTTGAACTCCTGGGCTTAAGCAATCCTCCTGCTTCTGCCTCCCAAAGTGCTAGGATTATAAGTGTGAGCCACAACAATCAGCCTGAAAAATTTCTTAAAATAAATTATAATGGGCCTAGTGTGGTGGCTCACACCTGTAATCCCAGCACTTTGGGAGGCCGAGGCAGGTGGATCACCTGAGGTCAGGAGTTTGAGACCAGCCTAGCCAACATGGTGAAACCTCGTCTCTAAAAAATACAAAAATAAGCCAGGGGTGGTGGTGGGCGCCTGTAACCCCAGCTACTCAGGAGGCTGAGGTAGGAGAATCGCTTGAACCCGGGAGATGGAGGTTGCAGTGAGCTGAGATCGTGCCACTGTACTCCAGCCTAGGTGACAGAACAAGAGTCTGTCTCAAAAAATAGAATAATAATAATAATAATAATAATAAAGGAATAACATAGCTAGGAATAAATTTAATGAAAGAGGTGAAAGACTCACACACTTAAAACTACAAAAAAATCACTGAAGGAATTATAGACCCAAATAAAAATAAATAAAAACACATTCTGTGTTTTAGGGAAAGAAGACTTAATATTGTTAAGATATCAATACTACCCAAAGTGATCTACAGATTCAACATAATCCCTATCAAAATTCCAACAGCCTATTTTGTAGAAATGGAAAAGCCAATCTTTAAATTCAGATGGAATTGCAAGGAGTTCTGAATAACAAAAACAACCTTGGAAAAAAAAAAAAAAGTCAAAGAACTCACACTTCCCAATTTTCTAAATTTACTAAAAAGTTGTAGTAATCAAAATAGTGTGGTACCAGCGTAAGTACAGACATATAGACCAATGGAATAAAATGGAATGTCCAGAAGTAAAACTATACATTTATTTTGAGACAGGGTCTCACTCCATCGCCCAGGCTAGAGTGCAGTGGTACAATCATGGCTCACTGCAGCCTCAAATTCTCAGCTTGGGTGATTTCTCCTACCTCAGCCTCCCAGACACCTGGGACTACAGGCACATGCCACCATGCCCAGATACTTTTTTGTATTTTTCTAGAGATGGGGTCTCACCATGTTGCCCAGGCTGGTCTGGAACTTCTGGGCTCAAGTAATCCCGCCACCTTGGCCTCCCAAAGTGCTGGGATTACAGGTGTGAACCACACGTCTGGCCTGGCCAAACGATTTGTTGACAAGGATGCCAAGTCTAATCACTGGAGAATAGACTCTTCAACAAATGGTACCAAGACAATTGGATTTCCACATACAAAAGAATGAAGTTGGACCCCTAATTTACATCATATACAAAAATTAACTTAAAATTGACCAGTCACCTAAACGTAAGCTAAAACCATAAAACTCTTAGAAGAGGCTGGCCTGGTGGCTCATGCCTGTAATCCTAGCACTTTGGGAGGCCAAGGCGGGCAGATCACTTGAGGTCAGGAGTTCAAGACCAGCCTGGCCAAAATGGTGAAACCCTATCTCTACTAAAAATACAAAAAGTAGCCAGGTGTGGTGGCAGGCGCCTGTAATCCCAGGTACTTGGGAGGCTGAAGCAGGAGAATTGCTTGAACCTTGGAGGTGGAGGCTGCAGTGAGCTGAGATCGTGCAACTGCACTCCATCCCTGGGAACTGAGCGAGACACTGACTCAAAAAAAAAAACAAAACAAAACAAAACAAAACAAAAAAAACTCTTAGGAGAAAACATAGGGGTAAATCTTCATGAACTGAGATTTGGCAATGAATCTGTAAATATGACAACAGAACCATAAGCAACAACAACAACAAAAAAAAACAAATAAAAATTAAATTTAAAACTTTTGCGCATCAAAGGATACCACTGAGAAAGTGACAACTCTTAGAATGGGAGAATATATATTTGATAATATATCTGTGAGTCATATCTAATTCGATATCCAGAATATAGAAGGAATCTCTAAAACTCAACAACAAAAAGATAAACCCAATTTTACAATGGTCAAAGGACTTGAATGGACATTTCTGCAATGAAGATCTACAAATGACCAACAAGAACAAGAAAAGATGGGCAACATCATTAGTCATTAAGGAAATCCAGATCAAAATCACAATGAGGCTGGGTGCGGTGGCTCACATCTGTAATTCCAGCACTTTGGGAGGCCAAGGAGGGCAGATCACAAGGTCAACAGATCGAGACCATCCTGGCCAACATGGTGAAAACCCATCTCTACTGAAAACACAAAAATTACCTGGGTGGGGTGGTGAGCACCTGTAGTCCCAGCTACTCCGGACGCTGAGGCAGGAGAATCACTTGAACCTGGGAGGCGGAGTCTGCAGTGAGCAGAGATCACCCCACTGCACTCCAGCCTGGCCACAGAGCAAGACTTCAGCTCAAAAAAGGAAATATATTTGTATGTGTATGTGTGTGTGTGTGTGTGTGTGTGTGTGTGTATATATATATATATATATATGGCACATCCACCCAATGGAATATGATTCAGCCCCATAAAAGGAATAATGTTCTAACACATGCTACAACATGAATGAACCTTGAAAACACTATGCTAAGTGAAAGAAACCTGGCACAAAGGGACAAACATTGAAAGATTCCAGTTATATGAAATATCTAGAACAGGCAAACTCAGAAACAGAAAGTAGCTTAGATGTGAGCAGGGGCTAGCGGGAGGGGAAATAAGGAGTTACTGCTTAATGAGTACAGAGTTTCTGTTTATGATGATTAAAGAGTTCTGGAAACAGCAGGGATAGTTGCACAACAGGAAATGTATCTGTCACTGAATTGTACACTTTAAAATGGTTAAAATGAGGCTGGACGCGGTGGCTCACGCCTGTAATCCCAGCACTTTGAGAGGCCAAGGCGGGTGGATCACCTGAGGTCAGGAGTTCGAGACCAGCCTGGCCAACACGGTGAAACCCTGTCTCTACTAAAAATACAAAAATTAGCCAGGCGTGATGGCTCACGCCCATAGTACCAGCTACTCGGGAAGCTGAGGCAGGAGAATCGCTTGAACCTGGGAGTCGGAGGTTGCAGTGCGCCAATCACGCCACTGCACTCCATCCAGCCTGGGCGACAGAGCGAGATTCTGTCTCAAAAAAAAAAAAAAAAAAGAAGAAGAAGGTTAAAATTACAAGTTTTAATGTTATATACATCTTACCACAATTTTACAACTGTCAGAGAAAGAGACCGAAGATCGATTGGGAAGAAGTAGAAATATGCCAAGGCGTGTAGCAGCTAGGTTGACAGGCTTTCGGGAGATGGGGAATTTGTTCTTTTCCCGCTTCTTCATACTTTATGAACTTTCCAAAGTTCCTCCCAAAAGCGGGAGTCGACTTTTAGACTGAGAAAAGGAACGTCAAAGTGGAACGGCTGGGGAAAGGGATTCGAGCCACAGGGGAAGAGGGCAGGCTGCGGGCAGCCGAGGGGCGCGAGGGGAGCTGCGGAACCGGCCTCCCTACCCGCGGCGGTGCCGGGCGGCGCCGGGGCCTGGGGGTCAGGCTGGAGCCGGGACTGGAGCCGGGGCCGGGGCAAGGGGTAGAGTCGGAGCCCGCCTCCAGCTCGCGTGCGGCGCGGCGGTACTTGTCGGCCAGGTCCTGCAGTAGCGTGTTCTTCCGCAGCCGCGGCTGCTGCGCTGCGCCCTCCCGGCAGGTGGGGCAGGCCCAGCGGCGCCCGGCGCCGCGCGCGCCCCACAGGCCCTCCAGGCAGTGGCGGCAGAAGCTGTGGCCGCAGGGCAGCGTGGCGGGCCAGTCCAGCAGCTCCTGGCAGATGATGCAGCCCAGGTCGTCCTCGGCTAGCCATACGGGGATGGCGGAGCCCGGGCCCTTGCCCAGGCCCGCCATGGCGACCAGGCGGCCGGGGCGCGGATGTCAGGGTTGAGCCGAGCCCGCCCGCGACCGCGTCTCCTCAGGCTCCTCCCTCGCCCTGCCTCTTCCCCTTTCCCTCCTCCTCTTCTCAGCAGCCTTTTCCTCTCCTTCCTTGGAGCCACCCCGTCTCCTTCCTCCGGTCCTGCTGAAAGCGGACTTAGAGCCTCCACTGTCCAGCTCGAAAGGCAGAGCTGATCTTAAGTGGCGGCCTCCTGCCCTGGGAAACCAACTTGCCGCGAGCCGCTAGGAACCCGCGGATGTCTCCAAGATTCCCTTTAGCTGGATGTCCCCCCATTAAAATGCAGCACCGTTGGATGTCTTCTAACGTTGGCTAATAAATAAATAAATAAACAACAAAAAGATGCAACACCGACAACTCTTGGGAGGAGAGGACTACATTCAGGAGCTCATTTATGAGAATGAGCCCACGAGGCGTCATTCAGCTCCTCTAACAAGTAGCAGGGGATTAAAGATCACCGATGCACAGCCACAGGGAGCGTCTTCAAAAATGTTGATGTTCGGGCCCCGCTCGCAGGGAGTCTGATTTCATTGTCTTGGGTGGAGCACGGATATTTTATAAAACCTACCTCAGGTGATTCTGACGTGCATTCAAGGTTCAGTGAGCGACCCCTGGACTTTTAAACTCGCGGTTATAATGCGCGCTGTGTCCTTACTGCCCTCTGCGGGATGTAAGAGCGTTCCCCAACAGACACGCGGACAAAATACTAGAAAGTGTTTTCCTGATATGGCACGCCTGGCACTTGTGGGTCTTGCGTTCTCTCCCAACTCATTCACTTCGCATCCCAGTCCTAAGCGCATTGCAACCAGAAAATGTTAGAGCTAAAAGAGCACCACGTCCTCCCAGATGACCTAAAGAGGTAAAAAAAAGAATTTCCAGGCTCTCATGGTGACAGTGAAGCGTCAGAGACTAAAACCCACAACTCCCCATCTGTTGAAATGAACTAACAATGTCTCATGCTTTACTTTATCCTTCCTTTCTCGCCTGGGCTCAAAGTAGGTATCAGATAATACAAGTTTGTAGCTGACCTTTGGATCACTTGAGGTCAGGAGTTCAAGACCAGCCTGGCCAACATGGTGAACCCCCATCTCTACTAAAAATACAAAAAAAACAAAAAACAAAAAAACAAAACAAAACAGAAAAAACAGAAAGAAAGAAAGCCAGGCGTCGTGGCACATGCCTGTAATCCCAGCTACTCGGGAGGCTGAGGCAGGATAATCACTTGAACCTGGGAGGTGGAGGTTTCAGTAAGCCAAGATTGCGCCACTGCACCCCCCGCCTGGGCGACAAAGGGAGACACTTGTCTCACAAAAAAAAAAAAAAAAAAAAAAAATTATATATATATAGAAGAAGCATTTGTGGTTATTTTCAATACTGGAAGTGTCATGGAGTAGGCAGCACTGCTCATCAACATTTCCAGTGCTTTCCCTTTCTGGGCACATAGTAGGACTGGCACTGGCCTGACCCACTTGAAACACACAGAGGTAATAACATGTTACTTCCCACCAGCTTTAAAGGCGACTGAGCCAGCCATTGTATCGCTTTCTGACAGCTGCCCCAACTATGGAGATGAAACCATCATCCAGTGACCCGGGTCACTGATTGGCTAAGATGAGCAGACTCCTTGCCAATGCACCCTAGGATACATAGTAAGGGCAGAAGAAAACTAGGATGTATTCAGGTTACTGAGATTCAATGGGCGTGTGCTGCTGCAGCATAACCTAGCCTGTCCTGACTGATACATTACCTGGATCTTGTTCCAGAGTCTCTGCATTGAAGTAACATTGTAGCTTCTAAGAGCCTCTCTTTTTTTTTCTGTAAAACAGGCATGATACTAAACAATTAAACATGTTCAGATCTTCCAACTTAAAAAATAAAATCACTGGTGGGGCGTGGTGGCTCATGCCTGTAATCCCAGCACTTTGGGAGGCTGAGGCAGGTGGATTGCCTGAGCTCAGGAGTTCGAGACCTGCCTGAACAACATGGTAAAACCCTGTCTCTACAAAAAATATATATATACAAAAATTACCCAGACATGGTGGTGCAGGCCTGTGGTCCCAACTACTCAGGGGACTGAGGTGGGAGGATTGCTTGAGCTGGGGAGGTGGAAGCTGTAGTGAGCCATGAGAGCTCAGGAGGTCAAGACTGTGGTTAGCTGTGATCGCACCACTTCACTCCAGCCTGGGGAAGGAGCTAGACATAGTCTCAAAAAAATTAAAAATTAAAACATAAAATAAAATCACCTTTCACCTAAGCCTCCCTGGAGCCAGCTCTCCTCTTTTCCATTTCACAGCCAAGTTCCTGTAAAGAGTGAGTTAACCCGTAGTTTTCAAACTTTTTTTCTTGGACACTCCCTAAAAGTTTTATGCAAAATCATGCAATGGTTATAAGAAAGGGGGAAGGGGGAGAGTGGTCAGCTCTGGTAGTAAAGATATATTAGCAAATTCTTCATTTACAGCAGATTTTTTTTTTTTTTTTTTTTTTTTTTTTTTTGAGATGGAGTCTCACTTTGTTGCCCAGGCTGGAGTGGAGTGGAGTGGTGCAATCTTGTCTCACTGCAACCTCCACCACACAGGTTCAAACCATTCTCCTGCCTCAGCCTCCAGAGTAGCTGGGATTACAGGCACTCACCACCATGCCCGGCTAATTTTGTATTTTTAGTGGAGATGGGGTTTCCCCATGTTGATGGGGTTTCTCCATGTTGGCCAGGCTTGTCTCGAACTCCTGACCTCAGGTGGTCCACCCACCTCATCCTCCCAAGTACTAGGATTACAGGCATGAGCCACCGTACCCAGCTACATCAGAAATTTTGTCATTTTTGGCCAGGTGTGGTGGCTCACGCCTGTAATCACAGGACTTTGGGAGGCCGAGGCAGGCAGATCATGAGGTCAGGAGTTCTAAAAGTACAAAAAAAAAAAAAAAAAAAATTAGCTGGGCATGGTTGCGGGCACCTGTAATCTCAGCTATTCAGGAGGCTGAGGCAGGAGAATCGTTTGAACCCGGGAGGCGGAAGTTGCCATGAGCCGAGATGGCGCCAATACACTCCAAACTGGGCAACAGGGCGAGACTCTGTCTCAAAAAAAAAAACAAAGAAATGTTGTCATTCTTTTATCTTTCTGAACTTGTATTTCCATTCCATTTTCTCCACAGAATTACATTCCAAAGCAATATATTTCATGCATGAAAGTGTTTTTATCACTTTGTAATACTTCTCTGCAACAAAAGTATGTATATGTATTAAACTTCTAATTCTTTTTAACTTCCTATGACAAAAAGCCTCTCGTTAAATTTTTTCCCCTGGATTGAATTATCAATATAATTACTATTAGCAGTCAAACAAAAGAAAACTATGCTGCAATTTATATAAATACCTTTTTTTTTTTTTTTTGTTGTTGTTGTTGTTGAGACGGAATCTCGCTCTGTTGCCCAGGCTGGAGTGCAGTGGCCGGATCTCAGCTCAGTGCAAGCTCCGCCTCCCGGGTTTACGCCATTCTCCTGCCTCAGCCTCCTGAGTAGCTCGGACTACAGGCGCCCGCCACCTCGCCCGGCTAGTTTTTTGCATTTTTTAGTAGAGACGGGGTTTCACCATGTTAGCCAGGATGGTCTCAATCTCCTGACCTCATGATCCGCCCGTCTCGGCCTCCCAAAGTGCTGGGATTACAGGCTTGAGCCACCGTGCCCGGCCTGGAAAGGTGTTTTTATGTTATGTATTTGAAATATATATACACACATACATATATGTATACGTATATATATGTATTTTTTTGTTTTGTTTTGTTGTTTTTTTGTTTGTTTTTTGAGACAGGGTCTCTGTTGCCCAGGCTGGAGTGCAGTGGTGTGATCTCTGCTTACTGCAGCCTGGAGCTCCCAGGCTCAAGCCATCACTTCAGTCCCACAAATAGCTGGGACTACAAGCATATGCCACCATGCCCTGTTACTGTATTTTTTTTTGAGACGGAGTTTCGCTCTTGTTGCCCAGGCTGGAGTGCAACAGTGCGATCTCCGGCTCACCGCAACCTCCGCCTCCTGGGTTCAAGCAAGTCTCCTGCCTCAGCCTCCCGAGCAGCTGGGATTACAGGCATGTGCCACCATACCCAGCTAATTTTGTATTTTTAGTAGAGACGGGGTTTCTCCATGTTGGTAAGCGTGGTCTCGAACTCCCAACCTCAGGTGATCCGCCAGCCTCGGCCTCCCAAAGTGCTGGGATTACAGGCGTGAGCCACCGCGCCTGGCTCTGTTATTGTATTTTTTTTGTAGAGGCCAGGTTTTACCATGTTGCCTAGGCTGATCTCAAACTCCAAACTCAAGCAATTCTCCCACCTTGGCCTCCCAAAGGGCTGGGATTACAGGCTTGAGTCACCATGCCTAGCCCTGAAATTTTTCTATTCAAGTACATGTGTTAACACCCATCCCTGTGACACTAGGTTCCAATGCTAAATTAGATTAAAAAATTCAGAGCCAGGGGCAATGCCTCACACCTGTAATCCCAGCATTTTGGGAGGCTGAAGCGGACAGATCACCTGAGGCCAGGAGTTTAAGACCAGCCTGGCCAACATAGTGAAACCTCATCTCTACTAAAAACACAAAAATTAGCCGGGCGTGGTGGCACACACCTGTAATCCCAGCTACTTGGGAGGCTGAGGCAGGAGAATTGCTTGAACCTGGGAAGTGGAGGTTGCAGTGAGCCAAGACTGCACCACTGTACTCGAACCTGGGTGACAAAGCAAGACTCTGTCTAAAAAAAAAAAAAAAAAAGAGGTAAGAAATGATGAGGCACTTGAGTTTGTGTGCTGGATGAAATAAGGCACACTGCCATTATCTTTTTTTTTATTTATTTATTTATTTTTTTTGAGACGGAGTCTGGCTCTGTCGCCCAGGCTGGAGTGCAGTGGCTCAATCTCGGCTCACTGCAAGCTCCGCCTCCCGGGTTCACGCCATTCTCCTACCTCAGCGTCCCCAGTAGCTGGGACTACAGGCGCCCGCCACTGCGCCCGGCTAATTTTTTTCTATTTTTTAGTAGAGACGGGGTTTCACCATGGTCTCGATCTCCTGACCTTGTGATCCGCCCGCCTCGGCCTCCCAAAGTGCTGGGATTACAGGCGTGAGCCACCGCGCCCGGCCAAGGCACACTGCCATTAACATGTGTTTGTTTGTTTGTTTGTTTGTTTTGAGACCGTCTTGCTCTGTTGCCCAGGCTGGAGTGCACTGGCACAATCTTGGCTCACTGCAAACTCTGCCTCTTGGGCTTAAGCGGTCTTGTGGCTCAACTTTCCAAAGTGCTGGGATTACAGGCGTGGACCACTACGCTCAGCCTAACATGTCCTATCAGTTTCTTTTCTCTGTTTTTACTAAATATTTTCAGGGACAAAGCACTTTTTGTCAAGGGACAGAAGAGATCATTAACCTTCCATCATTCTTACTTCCACTCCACATCATAATAAATGAATTCAAATGCCCAATCATAAGCCGAAACACCACTTAAAACAATTTTTTTTGTAGAGACGATCTTGAATGCTATGCTGTCCAGGCTGGCCTCAAACTCCTGGCCTCAAGTGATCCTCCTTTCGTGGCCTCCAAAGTGCTGGGATTATAGATGTGAGCCA